TTGTCATTTGAATTTCTAGTAGTATTTGTAATTTTCTGTAGTCTTGCAGTATTATCACTCTGTGTTTTGTGATTGATTGCAGTTGTTAGTGAAATCAACAGTTTCAATGAATAGCTTCTTTTTAAACATAATGTGCAATTAAAACAGTTTACTTACAAATTATTGTGAGGCTTTGTTTCTAAACAGCGCTGAAAATGTACAATACATATCAGGTACAGCCATTCATCCCTGCAGCAGACACTAGACTCAGATGTTTTGTGGGCTTAAAAGATGCATACACATGTGCAGGTAGTACATATACATGAATCTGTATGGAGGTCTTACCATGCATGTATTCATGACAGGTCCCCAATGTCAACTAATGTCAGTCAGTGTATCAGTGAACGTGAAAGATGCTGTTGTTGCTCATCACCACCATGGTGGGGTGACACTATTTGTCACTGTAGTGATGGATTCCGTCTCCCTCAGAGGAACATGTGCAAGCGCCGTCTCTGAAAGGCTGTCTTTGTGTTTCACACTCACTCACTCACACACAAACACGGTGCTGTAACTGACAACAAAGGCGTGCTTATCCAATTGTGGGGGAATAAGATTAAGCTACAAAGAAACTCATATGCTAATGTTAGCATCTCCTGCTCCAGTGAGAGCCTTTGTTTGTGTAATCAGGAATAACATGGAATTAGATTTGAGATGCTGTCTCGGAAATTATGCTCATAAGACCCCATTGTATGATGTTGACATGTTCCTAAATAACTGAAGGGGAGGGCCTGCTTTCTGTCTGATGTAACAATCCCCTGGGAAATAAAGAGTAGTTGTGCTGTTCAGATATCTGATTTTGTTTTCCTCTAAACAGGCTGTGTGGCAGACCCGGCCTAAGCTATGTCTTTACTCACTGTTTTCCTTTATAATTGACTTAGCTTGTCACCATAATTAGGTTATGGCAAAGAAGAAATAACTCCTCTGTCATCTGGTGGTTTAAGATTGTAATCTTTCCTTGATGAGAGCATCTCATTTTACAGCTTACTGTATTTCATCAATAGCAGCAATATGGAGTCTTAGTCTTACTGTCGACCCAACAGGTTAACCAGTTGCTGCTGTTGTGTCTCAGAAGTTGAAAGTAAGGCCACTCTGCATGGGGCAAATGCAATAATGTGTGGTCTACTAAGCCACACATTATAGCATCTTTAACATATTTGTCACATGAGTGGGGTGGTGTGGCCTTTTGAAAAGTGCTTTTCACTAGGACCTGCAGTTTGCCATAAATTCTCCCACTGGTGTCAGGTCAATGGTGGTTGGGACGCTTAAGATCTAGCGAGTGTGAAAGGAACTCTAGACAGTCCGGTGTTGTTGTATGAGCCAGGAGAGAGGGAGGCCATTCATTCGCACCTCTGTGACCCCTCTCTCATTCTTCTGAAGAAGAATAGCCTGCCTCTCACGCACAGTCAGCCCTAAGCCCCTCGGGGCATCAACAGCTTGTTACATAAGAATGAAGTAAAGAATGCTCCAAAAAAGTCTTCAGCCATGACCTTGGCTTTGATAGAGCCCTGTGATTGGTCCTGCTCTACTAGTGCAAAATCACTTATTTGTTCCTGTGATACCAAGCTTGATATGGATGTTGCTGAACCTGTAATAGCAACGACTAGCTTGTATTATCTGTTCATGATGAAAAGTTCGATTTTCAATCAAGTACAGATACTATAAAGGAACGTGCAAAAGTCTTGAGCCCTACATTTCTTTTTATATTGCTAGGAAAATGGAAAGTAGGTGCTGCAATTTATTGACGTGTACAGAGTTTATAAAATTCTGACAAGCCTGAAAGTCAATATTTGGTGGGACTACATTTGCTTCTTTTTTTCCTGTTTCTTAATAACATGTAATCAGAAAATATTCACAAAACTTGTCTGTGAAGGTTCTCAGTCATCCAGGTCATTGTATTTAAAGGAGCTGCAACTTATCTTAAGGATAAAGGACACTCTTTCGAGGATGCCAATGTTCACATTTTGGACAGAGAGGACAGATGGTTTGAAAGAGGAGTGAAAGAAGCCATCTATGTCCACTGTGAGCGACCATCTTTG